GTGACCAACGCCGACCCCAAATGGTTATTACGCGCCCGTCATGCAGTTGGCGTGGGATCGATGAGTGTTAATAGTCCCTGAATCACGTATAAACCATATGGACTTCTCATATTTTCAATCACGAATTTGTGCGGTTAAAGCCCTAAAAATTCAGTAGTACAATAGACATGTGGTACCCCTGGCATGGGAGCACATGTGTAATCGCCCCTGCCGACTCGGCATGGGGTGGATGAGCTAACCCATGAAATGTTAACCGAAATTCTGAAATGCGTTTTCGATTCGAAGAGATTACTTTAGCAGGGTTGTAATACCAATCACCGTGCGGTATATTCCCATAATAATTCAGTTACTCCAGGATGCCGGATTTTGAATCAACTTCTTTCAGGCTGGTTGCAAAAACTGTAATCTGTAAAAAATGAATGCTCAAGTAGCATGAGTATTTCCCATTTATTATAATTTCAAACAAATCTCATAGAAAGAATGCATAAAAAATTTATTCTTTTAATCATTTGGTAGATAATTACATATTCTTCGCATTTTATGCTTGAAAGAAAGTTATGATTCGGATTAAGGACATTTTTCCGATTCCCGATTAATTTTGAACCCAGCCTGCCGTTACACTTACATTCAGAATTTCCAAACTAAAAGTTTTATACTTTCTCCGTACAAAAGTCATACATTTTTATGCGGAATTAAGTGGAAACTATATGAGGTTTATAAAATTAAGCAGTGGATTTGAGCTATATTGTAAACTTTACAAGCAACTTTAGTAAATGCAGAGACATGGCGTTTTATGAACGGGAATGTCACGGTCCTAAAATATCTCATAATTAGAAACGTTTTTAAAACCGAACAATGCCCAACTTTTAAGCATAAAATTTAAAGAAGACGTAATTTTTCACCAAATGAATCACAGAATGAATATTTTGATGTACGTTTTCTATGAGAAACATTCGAATTTATGAGGTGTCGAAAATCAATAAGAAAAATTCATTCAATATGAACGGCCTTTTTTTTCAGAGTGTAGTTTTTACAGGCGGCTGGAACGAAGTTCATTCAAAAGCCGGCATTCTGAAGAAATTTAATTATAATGAGATTATCTCGCAAGTTGATTCAAAATACAACCCTACGTAAGTAATGTCTTCAAGTCGAAAACGCATGTCAGAACTTCACTTAACATTTCATGAGTTAGCACACTTACTGTACTCCCAGGGGCAAGAAAGCCTACTTACCGAAAAATACCATTTAGCTTCGAATGACCAGGCAGACTGCTTCATCAGTTTTAGTTGAACGCCCAATTACCAGATCTAACGGTCTTATTAAAGGATAAGGGCATGGTATTCTCTGCCATACATCAAGGACGTTTCGGCAGCAACTGAGCGCATTGCTGCGGAACTACAGTGAGTGAACTATCTCATGAAATGTTGGCTGAAATTCTGAAATGCGTTTTCGATTAGGAAGGATTACTTGGTCGCGGTTGTAATACTGACTATCTTGCGGCATACTCTTATAACATTTCGGACTGGGCAGGATGTCGGCTTTTAAATGCACTTCATTTCAATCTCCTGTAGAAAGCGTACTTGGTAAAAAATGACTACTTAAGTAACATGCATTTTTTCCATTGATTTTCGATGGTTTTGCAAATTCTAATATATCTTATAGAAACCATAAATAAAAAGATGCTTTCTTTTAGTCAATCAATAGAAAATCATGTCTTCTTTATCGTTTATACTTAAGGAAGGAGTATAATTAGGTTTTAAAAAAGTTTTCTAATTGCCGAATGATTTGGAGCCTGATCAGTCGTTGCATTAGCGCTTAGTAATTTTAGCCTGCAAGGTGCATGCGTTCCGCGTAAAGAAAATCACATATTTTTCTATGCCATTAAAGAGATATCATACAGAGTCCATAAAATTTTGCAATGGGTGCGGACCATGTTGTTCATTTCATGAGGAGCAGTGGTAAGCGGTCAGGTACGATGCTATGTGATTGACATTTCGCGGTCTTAAAAAGTCTCATAATTAGAAACTGTTTAAAAGTCTAATTATAATCCTTCCTTAAGTATAAACTATAAAGAAGACGTGATTCTATATTGATTGACTAAAAGAAAGCATATTTTATTTATGGTTTCTATAAGATATATTAGAATTTGCAAGACCATCGAAAATCAATGGGAAAAATTCATGCTACTTACATGGTCATTTTTTACCGAGCATGGTTTTTACAGGAGACTGAGAAGCACTGTATTCAAAAGCGGACATCCTGCCAATCCCGAAATGTTATAAGAGTATGTCGCAAGACATTCAGTATTACAACCGCGACCAAGTAATCCTTCCTAATCGAAAACGCATTTCAGAATTTCAGCCAACATTTCATGAGATAGGTCACTCACTGTTGGTGTTGGAAATGCACACCGCCCCAAATCCACCATGCTCAGTAAGGGAACGAAAATTACAGACCTGCTAATATTTGAGAAGCAATCCGCAGTAGTCTGTCGCATCCCGTGCCAAAATTGTCCTTTTAACTGCACAGGCCAGACTGGACGTAAGCTCGGATCGGGCATACACGAACGTAAGCTGGCTGTGCGACGAGGCGACGCATTATCACAAGTGGCCGCCCACACCTAAGAAACGAGTCATGAGTTTAACTTCGCAGCCACCAAAATAGTCGCCCATGCCGGAAACAAAACAGACCGAGAGTTGATTAAAGACTCAGCCTTGGATAGAATTCAATTAATCGATTTATCGATCTGTCGCCATTAGTGCTCTGGTCCCTGCTCAGCTGATGTTGAAGTAAAATGGTTCGTGCAGCCTAGCAGATTTTCAGTATGCAAAGGGCTGACAAAATACACAAGTTTATTTTCCCGTTGGGTAGTTGATGAGAGAAAATATACGCCGTGGAGGTATTTCTCAGACAGCAAAACATGTGCGGATTCAGGATTTTCCCATGTGAATAAATGAGTCGAGGTGGTTGGGATCAGTCACTCACCGACGCTTGCAAGGAGAAAAATCCTGCGTGTGTGAAAAACAAATCCAGTAATTTTCCTTTGCTGTGATTCACCGTGGCTTTAGACTGCTAATGCGGTTAAGGCTGTCTGATTCTTGCTTAAAAACTCCTTTGAGAAAGGACTGAGTCCCTGTTGTTTATGTGGAGTTGAAGTAGGTGTTGGCAAGACTCGCAGGAAATTGTTCCCTCTACAAAACAACGGTTTCTTGATCGAAATGGTGCGAAAAAAATAAATGTTTTGTCTCAGTTCGTAGCAAAACAAAAGGGTATTAGATCAAAGAGGTAGTAAATCTTCAGTTCAGATATTATTTCTAGAAGTTGTTTCGATTTCCGAAAAGTCGGTAAGTTGGGCCAAATTAGAAAATGAATCTGTGTTAGCATATACAAATTAATTAATTAATCGATTTATCGATCTGTCGCGGGCGTAAAGAGCCCTGCGCAGTCACCTCCAATTTTGTGCTGTCCGTCAATGATTGGCTTACACACCCTATAGCTGTCGCTTGTTCCGTTGCTGCTACTATCTCTGTGGATGGACTCCTGCAGGGGTTCGAAAACTTAGGCCAATAAACAAAGTGTTTCGGTGCTCGAACCCCCTTCTTCTTCACTTATACATCCACCTGGAGCTCGAACACTCGCCTTCCTTGCTATATCCTATTATAAAAAGAACATACAGGACTCAGAAAACTGTGTAATGGATGTGTACTGCGTCGGCTACTTTATAAACAGCATTGATAAAAGTTGCGAAAATTCCCATTGTAAAATTCAAAAGGCAGTTTGGCGAGCATACGTCTGCTTTCGATAAATTCAGACTCTTTCTGTCAAACAGCGAACTAAATTACGTTTAAAGTTTAGCGGTACGAAACTCTTAAGAAGAATCTGCGCAGCTGATCGCGTTGAGAAAGCGCTTAAAATCATCCAAAGCCTTTTTCGCCAGAACGGGTATCCCGATCGATTCATTGTTAAGAACATGGCCGAAAGACCACAAAAGTCCCTGATACTGACGGCAGGAAAGAAAAGGCTCGTCGTCAGGGTCCCATTTCAAGGGGATAAATCAAGTGAACCTATAAGAAGACGCTTAACTCGAGCTGTATCACAGACGTTTCCGGCAGCCGAAACCCTTGTACTGTTCTCCACCAGTTTCACCCAACACGGAGAGTGTAAGTACAAACCACCAGCTCAGACCACCTCTGTGTGTTGGAGAATAAGACACGATTGCCGGGACAAGAGCTTTATTAGCCTGACGTTTCGGATTCCTGCTCAAATCCATCATCAGAGACAAAAGCAGATAAGGGTGGTTCATGCATATGGGGCTGCAGTATTTATAGGATGCAGTAGCCATGCTACCGCATGCCTATGAATATTCACGGCTCCCCCCTTCATCCGGGATCGCTGCACGTGGTGTGTTAATTGCTTGATGGCCGACGTTCGCGTCGTTAATTGCTGCAATTTTATCACGTGCGTTGGATGTTGGTGTGGTGACTGCTCGACCATCTGACGCGCTGACCCGGGTGTTAGGAAGAGTGTTCACCTGTGCGCTCCCCGACGTGGCCAATTACCGAGTACCGAGCACCGATTATTGAATGGGAAGAGCATTGCACTTGTTAATAGACTGGGGGCCAGTAAACCATGACTTAAGCATCTCCCGGCTCATGCGGTTGTCACTTCTTGCAAGATTTTCGGCCTCGTCAAATTTGAATGTGTGGCCGGAACCCGTCGAATGAGCCGCAACTTGAGAGCTGGCGTTGTTTCTCCGCACCGCTGCAGCGTGTTCGGTCATTCGCGTTTGGAGTTGTCATCCGGTTTCTCCAATGTAGTTGCTTGGTAGCAACTGCACCAGATCCGCTAAGCGACTTCAGTCGTTTCTTGCCGTGTCAGTGGTCTTTCGCTTTCATTAACTGACGCCTGATGGGTGCCTCCGGTCTGTGTGCAATTCCAACCCCAAGTGGTGCGAGAAGGCGGCCATCAGCTTCTTAATCGTTCTTGACATATTGAAGCACTCACCAAACTTTGGTGTCCGTGCGGTTAGGCCTTTTGTCTCTTTTGCGTATGCACCGGTTGACGAAGTTGCGCGGGTAGCCATTGGCTTTGAAGACCCGTCGGAGGTATTGTAATTCGGCCATCTTGTCTTCCGGCTCACTGCAGTGCATTTCGACACGTCGGTAGAGCGTCCTTACACAACTGCGTTTGTGGCTGATTGGGTGGTTGTTGTTGAAGTTCAGTACTTGCATCGTATTTGTCGCTTTCCTGAACACTTTGGTCTTAAGTCCATCACAATCCTTGCGGCATACGAGGACATCCAGGAAGGCCAGCTGGTTGTTCTCTTCCTCCTCCATCGTAAATTGTATGTCCGGGAAGACTGCATTCAGACGTTCCTTGAATGTCAGCAGTTGATCCCGGTCGATAACGACGAAGGTATCATTCACATACCGGGCCGAGAACTTCGGTTTGTGGTGTTGGAAGACCAGCGACTCTAACCGTTGCATGACCGCCTCGGCGATGAACCCCGAAATCGGCGAACCCGTTGGTGTGCCCTTCATCTGTTCGTAGATTGTCCCGTCGAACGTGAAGTACGTCCTGAGACAGAACTTTAGAAGCTGAAGGATTTAAGCGCATCCAAGACGATTCTCCGTTTCACCGTATTTGCTTTGTAGAAGCAGCTCGATTGTCTCGATCGCCAGGTCCTGGGGAATAGAAGTAAAAAGGGATGTAACACCAAAAGATACCATGACCTTATTTGGATGGATGCTTACCCCTTTGAGTTTCTCTAGGAATTGTGCTGACGAAGAGACCGTGGTGTCTGACGCAGTGGTCAGGAACTTGAGACGCCGGAACAGCCACTTAGCCAGTCCGTACGTTGGAGTACCCTTGAGCGACACGATGGGTCAAAGAGGAGCGCCATCTTTGTTCACCTTAGGGAGACCATATAATCGGGCCAAAGCCGTATCTTGGGGTCTCGCCATGCGTCTGTCGGTCGGTGTTATTGCACCTGAGGTCTTCAAGGCCAACAACGTAGTATTAATTTCGCGTGTCAGAGCTTTTACAGGGTTCGTTGCACATAGGACATAGAACTGTCGGTCCTCCAGTAAGCCTTTGGCTTTTTTAAAGTAGTCTGTCCAGTCCAGTATAACCGTGGCGCGCCCTTTGTCCGCTGGCACGATGACCGGTCCTTTGTCGGCCTTGAGTTCTCTAAGCGAATCACATTTGACCTTGGAAAGCACTTCCCGTGGGCTGTGGGCCATCAGGAGCGACGACACTTGGTGTCGGCTGAGGCTCTTAGTCTCCTCCGTTGCCTCCGTCAGACTAAGGGTTGATTCCTCTGCTGCAATCATGTTAACAGGTTTGGCGTCAGTCATGCCGTAAAACCTGCATCTGATCCTTCGTCAGCTCCTTTGATGACAGGTTGTGCACCCATTTGTCGTTTTTGGGCGACGTTGGATTGGGCAGCTTTTGGAATTTGTTCTCCAGTGCTGCGTCGCGTAGCGTTCTCTTTTCGCGGGCTTGTTCAGCTATCCTCTGCAGGAGCAGATTTGTATTGATCTCGCCCATGAAGTCACAGCATCTGGTCTTTTCTTGGTCAATCCTTTCACGGTACATGCGAATTCTCGCGTGGCAATCTTGGAGAAGCACTCGAATCATCCCTCTGCCATGGTGAAATACTGCTCGTCTCGCCAAATCTGTGTTAACCGGGGGTTTGTATGAAACACATTTCGGTAACACATGATTGTCGAGACACCTGTGCAGAAACCGGATCTGCGAATACGTGGAGGCCTCCCGAAGGGCGAAGGTTTTCCATCGCCGGGCCGATCGGAGCGCATCGCGCCCGTATACATTGTTAAAAGACTTGGGGCCAGTTAACCATGACTTAAGCATCTCCCGGCTCACGCATGACAAAAACGTGAGCCGGGAGATGCTTAAGTCATGGTTTACTGGCCCCCAGTCTATTAACAAGTGCAATGCTCTTCCCATTCAATAATCGGTGCTCGGTACTCGGGAATTGGCCACGTCGGGGAGCGCACAGGTGAACACTCTTCCTAACACCCGGGTCAGCGCGTCAGATGGTCGAGCAGTCACCACACCAACATCCAACGCACGTGATAAAATTGCAGCAATTAACGACGCGAACGTCGGCCATCAAGCAATTAACACACCACGTGCAGCGATCCCGGATGAAGGGGGGAGCCGTGAATATTCATAGGCATGCGGTAGCATGGCTACTGCATCCTATAAATACTGCAGCCCCATATGCATGAACCACCCTTATCTGCTTTTGTCTCTGATGATGGATTTGAGCAGGAATCCGAAACGTCAGGCTAATAAAGCTCTTGTCCCGGCAATCGTGTCTTATTTTTCAAGACTGCTTCCTGTGCCCCGTCTCTTCGCTGCTATTGGCACCTCTATGTGTAGTTACTCCTTCGCCTGTTACTGCGGGGCAGAATATATTGGTCGCACGGGCTGGCGTTTGTCCAAAAGAATAAAAGGACATCTTCCAGCATGGTTAGGAAAGGGTCAAATAAATATCATCAACAGCTCGATCCTCGCGCACATGGTAGACACAGACCACCGTGTAGACGCCAGAGATGCCTTCAGAGTGATTTACAATGTCCCATGAAGTTATCCAAAACTACTTGGACAGCGCTTGTTCGCTACGGCAGAGGCGGCTGCAATCAGGCTTCGCGGACCGGCCCTATGCACACAGAAGTACTTCATACAAGTCCCACAGTTGCCATGGCTCAAAGCAACCGAGCCATCCACCCGCATGTAATTACCTTCGCCGGGCCCCACCTTCTCCTTGACGCTGTCTGGAATTGTGGTTTCAGTCTCCCCCTCCCCCCTCCAAATCCGAGCTACAGCTTAATTATCTACTTGCCCGTATCTTTTAATTCACTACTTCAATGGCCATATAAATGTACAGGCCTGAAGAGAGTTTGTCGAAAGCAAACGTGTGCTCGACTAATTGCCCTTTGAATTGATAAAAGTGCTGACGCGATGCTTTACGAATGTGCACTTCACGGTCTCGAGAAACTTCATTATTAGAAAATCTTTAAAACCGACAGCCCACTCTTCCTTTATGTATGAAATTTTAATAATGCATTATTTGCTACCTAATGAGTAAGAAAAAAAGTGTTTTTTATGCATTTTCCCGTAAAATATATCTGAATTTTCAAGGGCATGGAAAATTAGTTTGAGAAAAAAACTCGTAAGAGTGTAGTCTAAACAGGCGGTCGATAAGGAGCTCATTCGAAAGCCGATACCCTGAGTGAATGGAATATTTTAGCATTATGCCGCGGATAACTAATACTACAACCCTACTCAAGCAATCTTTTAGAATTGGAAACATTTCAAAATTTCAGTCAGCGTCTCATGAGATAGCACTGCGGCTGGAACAAAATCTCAAGAGTTTCATTGGATTTAAATAAAGACTAGCGCATGTAAGAGGGGAGCACTAAGGAAGTGAGAACCATTTATTTGAATTCTAAATTCAAGATACTATCTTAGAAGCACAAATTTCCTCTAAAATACTATTTATTAGAGGCTGAGCACTTGTCCCACCGGGTTTTCTGCCGCTCAAAGCCTTTCTTTGTTATTCATTTGAACTAGTGCTATAAAGTGCTTAATACGATTTTTTCCCAAACACCTTTACGTCCTGAAAGCGCTTTCCCCCAGGTTTTCCTTTACTTTTGGGAACTCGCAAAAGGGCTACTTTGGCGAGTAAAGGGGGATGAAAAACCCTTTTCCTGTCATTTTTTTGCCAAAACAAGCTGACTGTGAATGCTGATTAGGTAGACGCGTTGTCATGACGAAGCAGCCAGCCCTTGATCGTTACAATATAGGTCGCCTTTTCTTACTGCCTAATATGCACAGTAGCTTCAGCTCTTGCAAATAGTAGTAGTGGTCCACTGTGATATCATGAGGGATAACTTTCACGTGGACGGCTACTTCGATGCCAAAAACAAGCCACCGTGGACGGTAAACAGAATTTGATGTTAGCGCGATGCTCGTCAAAGTTTTTCCTCGTAAAATCACTGAGAGTGTTGGGAGGCAGTCTGATAAAACAGTCCCTCAGTCGATGAATTTTCATGAACTGCGCTTAACGAACTGAGCAAGGGAGATGTCTAGCGGGAGAGAGCAGCACTGTCGACCAACAGAAAGTAATTCTCGTTTTTTTGGGTACCTCTCGTACAATGCTGATCGTCCATATCACCAATAGGTTATACTTCGCTGACGTTTTCCGCGTTGTGCAAAAGTATTTCGTGCAACACTGCAACACATGCCAGCGTATATGGGAAATTTTCTAACCCCCACTAACATCAGACAGGTCACAGTCCCTCCCATGCGATAGAGCCTCATTTATTTCGACTTCTAAGGTACCCTGATCGTGGAAGGAATTTGTTAGCCTCTCCGGTAATCCAGCATACCGCCAATAAATACAAAACGACTTCTCAGGAGCCAGGAGTCTGTAGTGAATCTCCGGGCAACGAAGTGATATAACTTGTAGCGGCCAGTCTTCATAACCGGTCTGGCGTCATTGTTCAAGACCTCGCTGCCTCAAGGTAATTCACCCCTTGCAGCCAGCCGTTCCAGACGCGCTGACCTGAATCCACTTGACCGCCTTCAGCTCGGACACAACTGCGTACTCACAGCGTAGCAGCTGCCCATGCGGTCTCTTGGACGTACCTCCCCTTGCAACCAGCAGAACAAACCACTGGGACACCACCCCTCGGCAAATGCAACACACACCGGTTGGCCACCACTTGAGCTTGGCCCATGAGCCAAAAAGGCGGCTGCCACCACTAACTGAGGGATTGTCAGGCATGACTGGACGCAGTCAACACTAGCGGTGGCTTCGCCAGTGGCCACTGCTGCCTGAGAGGACAACTTCTGGTGCCTTCCGACTTCTCCTTCCAATCTGGGATTTGACTTGATAATTGTAGCGCTCTCACCGCATAACCGCAACAAATTGGTACCTTCTGTCTCTCTCTCTCCTACTAACACAAGGATTCGACCTGATTATGGTGGCACTCAGACTGAACACACTCCCACTGCTTAGTCGCAACAAATTCACCACTCGTAACTTGTTATCGTTTTGATTAACGCAGGTACGGATTTTGGATTTGACGTGGTTCTTTTTCACTAAAGATTGATCTGATCAGGAGTCCGATGAGTTGGATAACTTCAGTATATTTCAGCTAAGCCGTCCGCCTTTCGATTCGTTTACCTCTTTGGGGCCACATGCTGAAGAACAGAAGTTGACAGAATGCATTGTCCCAGGTTTACGCCGACTCATTGAAGAACGTACAGTAAGTAGGCTAACTCATGAAATCCAACAGGAATCCGAAAATGCGTTTTCGTTTCGAAAAGATAAATTAAGTAGGGTTGCAAAACCAATCATCCTACAGCATAAATCTATAATAATTCCGTTACCACAGGAGGTTGGCTTTTGAACAAATGTCTTTGCAGCTGCATCCAAAAACCATAGTCCGTAAAAAGTGACTACTTGAGTAGCATGCATTTTTTTCATTGGTGTTCGATGCCCTTAAATATTCAATTATTTTTCATAGAATGCATACCTAAAAATATTCATTTTTTGTTGATTCAGTACAAAATTACGTCTTTTTTCAGTTTTATATTCGAAGGAAGGGTATAATTTGATTTACAAAACTTTTCCAATGCCCGAATAATTTTAAACCTGACCTGCCGTCACATTTGCATTCAGGGTTCGCAAACTACAAGCCGCATAATTTCCGCATACGGAAACCCATGCATTTCTCTGCTGAATTAAGAGGAGACCATAAAATTAGGCACATTGTTACCTTTACAAGCCACATTGGTAACTGCAGAGACATGACGTTTTATGAAGGGCCATTTCACGGTATTAAAAAATCTCACAATTAGAAACTTTTTAAAACCCTTTCTTTGAGTATAAAATTGGAAGAAGAATTGATTTACTATCAAATGAGCAAAAGGATGAATATTTTTATGCGTATTTTTCATGAAATATAATTGAATCTTTAGGGGCATCGAACATCAATGAAACAAATGCATGCTACTCAAGTAGTCACACTTTGCGGAGTATGGTTTTTGGATGCAGCCGTAAAGACGTTTGTTCGAAAGCCGGCGTCCTGGGGTAACTGAATTTTTGTAGAATTTTGCTGCATGATGATTGGTTTTACAACCCTACTTAATCACTCTTTTCGAAACGGAAACGCATTTCGGAATTGCTGTTGAGATTTCATGAGTTATTCCACCTACTGCAAATCTACTAAATTGGATCGGCAAACTTTTATAGGGTTAAAATAGACAGGAACAACCCTACCGTCGTAACCTGTACCTTTAAAAGACTGAAGCGCCCCACCGGCTGGAAGATCAGTCACGAGGTCTGCACAAGCCTGCAGTCAAGGTAGTAACTCAAGAAGCCCAATGAGCGCGCCAGCGTTTGTTTATTTGTTCTCATGCCCCGGCCACTCATCGGCGCACAGACAATATGATGAACAGATGCATGCACGGCCCTCAAAAGCCTGCAGCCTCAATGTCGGCACACATGGCTAAGATACCGTTGACAAGGTTGTCCTACTAAACCAAGGAAGTCACGAACAGTTTAAAACAAGTCATTGTCGTCAAACTTGACGAGGCAGAATTTCTTGCTAGAGACGACAACCGCATGAGTCGCGAACTGCTCGAGTCACGATTTTCCGGTTCATTATAAATAAACAAGCGCAACGGCCTCCCAACTCCATATTCGCCGCTGAGACTTTGCTTAGGCAAAGTAGTTGGCCGCGAGGAGAGCATGCGGATGACCACTCTTCCTGCTGTTCATGTCAGCGAGCCAAACTGTCCAAGAGTTCACGCGAATCACGGAATCCGGCAGTCAGCAACTCGACTGCGTGCGAGACGATAATCTTGATCGGCAAACATGCGAGTTGCAACGGTATGGCAACTACATGCTCCAGCACCTGGCGTGTCAAGCCGTGATTCACTCGGGAGCCGCTTACTGTGATAGGCATGTAACGACCTAGCAACTACATCCTATAAATACTGCAAGACCTGAGCAATTTACCACCCTTATCGGACTCAGTCTCTGCAGATGGATTCCAGTGGGAATCCGAAATGTCAGGTTAATAAAGCTCTTGTCCCAGCGATCGTGTCGCCTGCTTCTAGAGACATGGCGCTCATTGAAACGTTTGTCCTACTAGACCAAAGAAGTCACGGACAGTCCAAAACTGTTCACTTTCGATCGACGGAGAAGAGGGATCTGCCGAAACCTACACTTGCATATGAGACTTCATGTCAAATGACGACCCAAATGTGATTAAATTCACGTCTCCCGGTGGCGCCTCGTAGCTCAGGTGGCTAGTTCGTCGGCTGTACTAAAGCCTTCCCCTTGTTGTCGAGGGTTCAAATCGCACCAAGGCGCTGGGTTTTTTAAGGTTGGGTCAACATGAAAGTAAACTGCAGTGGGAGTGAGTATTGCACGGTGCACAACAGAGATGCATTTAAAACATGGATGCGAGGATGAAAGGATCCAGACTTTGAAAAAGCCTCCTACCGACAATTCCCTGAAATAAACGTGGACAGTTGAGTTGTTCTAAAAACCCTTGGCATACTCTGTATCGATTGACGCACATCCAGTGTGCAACTATCCTACCAAAAATCCCATTTAGGTACGATAACTAGCGGTATTAACGATAGTGGCGACGATAATGATGTACATAAGGTTAACTAACAGGGGAACTTTAAACGATTGATGGCAAGAGGAAAATATTTTTAGTATTAAAAATAATTTACTTCCAGCCTTTTTCGTTTTGACTGAAGGAACCCCTCGATGCATTTTGAAATAAAAATAATAATTCCCGTCAGGATGTTTATATCTACGAAATTGGACCCCTGTTTCTTCACGTCAATTGACATTGTTTTGACTTTTCTCGGTCTATTCAGACTTTTAAACATCTCGAAATATAGGCGTGCAATTCGTAGAAAACAGGCATACAGAATGTCCAAATTCGTTAATCATATCTAATCAATGATGAATATCAATTGCGGACTTTGATCCTTGACCTAATAGACAATGAAACGTACTCTTAATAAGGTAAATAAACTACTACTAGTGTCGGCAAAATTTAATTTTTGACCTTTCTAATTTAGGATGAACATCTGAAAGGAAATTTTAAACGACTAGGTATTTTGACGTCTGTATGAACGTTCTTGTATTTATCGTTGCCCAAGTATTTGAGTTAATGTATTTTGTCCAATCCATTGTCTCCTATTTACCTTTTCTCTCTCCAGTCCCTGCTCTGAAAAACGGTTTTCGAAAATGTTGACGCGCTGCGCCGCAATATTTTAACCACACGGATTAGATCCACGCAGTGAACTAAAGGCTGTTGAAAAAACTCTCCACCTATGGCTTATGACTCGCACTTTTAAACCTCTCAAACGTGCTAATCAACATGCGCCGCAAATCCACGCAACAATTCCCATATATACTCGATTGTGCCTCTTCGGGCGCATTATAGCAGGTTGAATAAACATGCACACATCTGTATTGATCACCTTCATCTGCCTTTTAGGCATCCGAGGTTAGTTATGTGCTCATCGTTAAAGCAAGGGTGTGTTCCGCATTCACAGACTTAAAACTGTCTAACACATTTGTCCTGCATGAGATTTGACAGTGCCTAAAAATACTTTCTCCAGCATATCTTTAGTGGTTGCTTATCTGCAAATTACATGCATAGACAAACGGCGAGGCCCAAAGGTACTTTTCTGGAGGCGGGTTTTACATATAACATTTGCGCATTTACTTACCAGGTGCCACCAAACTGAAAATCTTCTTAATTCTAATGGCGTCGTAATCGAAGACAGTGTTATAATCTGGCCAGTACTGTAGAATTAATAACAAACTTTTCGATGGAAAACGTGCAACCATTGTAATCCCTTAGCAAGCTTCTAGGAATATACGAAATTTTTGACAGGACAGGATGCAATCAGTAAAACTGTTAATTTCAGAAAACCTCTGTCTCTAAACCTACATCTTTTTTACCTCTTAGATATATCATGTGCGCCAAAGTCAGACCCAACGACTTATAACATATCTTCGAAACCAAGTCGACTCACCGTGTTTTGCCCTTTTCTACCCACCGTAAGTACGCTTGACTTGGGAAATTTCGGAAGAATTCACAGGTCCATCTCTGTGCTGCCAAGCCGAATAGATAAACCAGTACCAGATAGGACTTGGTTTGGATAAGTATAGTGAATAACCGAAAGAGCATTTGCACATCCATTCAAGATGGTTTATAGCCATACAATAAATAAAACAAGGGCAAAAATAAAAAACAACGCAAAAACGATAAAGTTAGCGCCTGTAGATCATAATTTTCACTCTAAGGAAAGACTAGTCAAGGGGTTAATCAAATCGGGTGGCTGATTCCCAAACACAAATCACTGCGTACTTTGACCTCCGCATCGCAATGTTCTTCAGTCGAAATAATGTCGCTGTCAAAAAACCAATTTTTAGGAAACCTTTACTTTTATTCGTCGTATCTTTTTACTTGAGTCAATGAGAACTAAACTATGCGTCAAAAAACAAAACAACTCTTGTAATTGTGAACTGTGCACCAATTTCCCTTATAAAGGGAATGTGGATAAACTTGATAAGGCGCCGATAAGCAAGTCACTGATGTGTTAATCAGTAATTGGCTTATTTTGAGGATGGTAATTTAAATATTCTGTTCTTTCTATAAGGATCTATAAGGATGTCGCATTAAAAACAGTGCATATTTTAAGGAACACTGGTCATGCTGCCATTAAATGTCCTTTGCGCTCAAATTTGTCTGTTGAAGAGAGCTAGACGATATTAAACCAAGTAAAAGTTTTTGCGAACCCCCCAACGACAGCAGTATCGGTCCGCATTCGACCACTTTTCGCCTGACCCCGATTTATGCGTAATGTTTCATGAACTCTCCCCAATAACGGAGGTTTTCCTTATATGGAAACTGTACAGTTTTTTGTTTGGAAGCCTTGAACACAGGTACAACTGCAGGTTGGCCTCAAGCGTATACGGGAATTTAAAAACGACCGAAATGGGCATGAAATTGCATTTTATACATGTTTTGTGTGGAGTAAATTGATTGCCTTTTGATGGACAATAACTGTATTCCGTTGCATTCATATTTTAGTGCAACTTCATCTTCTATACGAAACTGCTTAATACTCAAAAAGAAAGACCTCTGCAAATCTATTAAAGAGAGCACTTGCGATCTCGTTAGACTAGATTTCTCCTGGTATCGCCACATGCGTAGTGATTTTAAATTAATGGCCTGGCGAAACAGGAAGAAGACCCCGTAGGTCGAGATAAAATTCCAGCGTAGAGTAACGCGTACATGCAAAAAATAAGCTCCATAGACGCCAATTACACTGTCATCGCCCACCAAATTAAGTAAGATATTATATATAGGTATTATTTATTGAGTTTCAGTAAATTTTAATCAAGACCTTTGTTACGCGTTTGCTAAGCTCGTTTTCGAGCAATAAACATTAGTATGAAAAAACAGGCCCCTTCCAAACTAAAGTTATAATTGAAAAGTTGATTTCTGAGAAGTTGACTGACCAAACAAATTGCTCTCTGACAACAAACAATTTCAATCTAGACTTAGGCTTCAGAAGTGCTGCCAAGCCAGGTGACCTTGCAACTTACCAATGGACTAAAATAGACAAACGCCGAGTTGTGCAATAATTCTGAATCAGAACCGCACATTTATTACAATGAAACAGCCTATTTTCAAATTGCTGAACCATCTCACTCCCGGGCTTATCTGCTGGACAAATTAGTGGCATTAACAATTATCTCCGTTATTATTCAGACGGCATCGTAGGTAGGGTCTCGCCTGTCTAACTGGGCATAGATTCTAATTTCCTTCATATCACACCTTAAAACTGATTATTTACTCCAGAAACTTATCGCGGACAAAACTTACCAGCTTGATGGAAAGCTCTGCAGACACGGCAAGAGAATCTTGACCTGCAAAGTGTTTCAAGGTATAGAGAATGTTTCCATTTTTGACAAAAAAAATAATTTTTTGCTTTTCTATGAGTGGTTTTTCTAATAAGGCCTGTTTGCAAAATTATCAGTCAATTTCAGTGGAGTGTTTCCGTGCATTTAGTGGGAAATATGTGGCGACTGAGCCTTTCCTTTCCACACACCAATTTCACGCAGTTAGTGGTCCTTCCAGACCACGAGAAGTTCGCCATTACGATGCAAGGTGAACCTTTCAGTCGGACCAGGTTATGTAAGTATTTTGCCCCACTATTTTATTTCAATTATAAATATACATGTCACCTGAGCCTAAGGCACGCCACGACCTATAGCAGTTATTTTACAAGACTGTCTAAAGGAAGGCAGTACCATGGTACAGTGTGCTGAAGACTTTCACTAATAGTCGTCAATATGATTAATGTTGCACCGTAGACTCCTATGACCATACATTGGTCTGATGTAGCATATTACTCATATGGTTTATGTAAAAGTTCCCTCTGCACCTATCGGTTTTTGAGATGTAAATGAAAAAAAACATGTTAACAACGCAATCATGCACCTACAAGGGGGCTTCGTGAACCACTGATGAAAAATAACCTGCGGAATCTTTTTAAAACCCTGAAACTGCAAGTGACTATGGCAGATCTCTAGTTTGACTGAGGATCTTGCATATCTGCAAGCATGATATTGCTTAAGGCTGTTATCAACGGCTAATGAGCCGCAAATCACCATTCCAGTCTCTCTTGCCTTTGTCGCAATTGCACTTCGTCATTGCGGGTCGCCATGCGACTACCTGTGAAGGCCCTGAATTTAATTCCAGGGCGCATCTCGACAACCATGCCCGTAACCTGATCAATGGACTCGAATTTTTCCCACTGTAGAGTACCTTCAAAGACGTTAAATGGTCGCCTTGCCTTAAATCATGAGCCTTTTTAAAAGCGGCCCTTCGTTTGAACTACCTTTTCAACATTTTAGACCAAACATTTTCTTTTCTGGACTCAAAACCCTTCTATCATGTAACTGATGCCAAGAAAAGCACCCGGACTGTTAGGTGTGCCATCAAAGTACCGGGAGATCCCTTAGCGTTGAAGGTATGGTATCAATGTGTTTTCCAATTACCTTACACGTGAGTTTGTAAACTGTAAGCCAGCTGACTTTGGGAGCGGAATCTGCACTGAGTGAACAATGTTCAAAGTTAAACTCATTAACCTTCTCGAAGGTGTGGTCGGCCAGTTGTGATAATTCGTCGCTTCGTCACAGAGTCAGCTTTTCCTCATGTCTGCACGATCCGAGCGTGCTCACAGTCTTACTAGCGTAGTTATGAGGACCGTTTGTGTGTCGGATGCGATACATTAAACAGGCCGCTCACTGAGATTTTGTCTGTTTTTCACTTCCGTGACCTAGTTTCGCGTAGTAGCTTTAGACCTGAGCACAAATCCGAAACCTAGCCCCGCAGCAATAGGCTCAGTCGTCTCTGAGACGTTCTTTATGTGCGGCAGAGTTTGCCAATATCTTTGTTGTTATTTCCAGTAAGATATGGTTTGGTAGTCCAACCTGATGGACACAATGCTGTTGGGGTTTGGGTTAAGGGTTAGAGTTGGGAGTTATGACTAGGGACTAGGGGTAGGGCTTTGGATTAGGGGTTATAGTTAGGGGTTAGGGCTAGGGATAGGGATAAGCGCAACTATTTTTAACCGCTCAACGTACAGCCGCGCATTCCCAACAGTTTTTCTTTTGCACACAACTCCTTGCCCTCTTTGTCTGTGATTCTCCAGCTCCACCTTTAAAAATCATATTAACAATTGTCCCGTACTAGAGGTGACTGGGGTTTGTTTACTTCAGGTGGGGCCACCTAACCACATCCGACCCTGTTTCCGCTTGAGTCCCCCGGGGTGACCACGAAGGCATCAACTTATAGACGCCTTCGGATGACCATCCAGTGTAATTTTGTCACAGAAATGCTGAGTATCAGGAGCTTTATCTTTCTGGTCGTTGCTGTGAGCATGAGGCCGCTTGAAATGTCCTCATATAATCGGTTGAAAGCTACCAGATTAAGAATTATGACCCTTATCTGAAACTGTCTCTGGTGATGGGTTTGAGTGAGAATCAGAAACGTCAGCCTAGTAAACGTCTTGTTCCAGCGATCGCATCTTCTTCTTCCGAGTTATTGGATGGTCGCTGTGACAACTGAGAAACTTCATGGTGTTCGTTTCCGTCCTGTAAACTCTAAACTCTGTTTTCGACTTGGGCCCTTCGCCTGACGAGCAGGCGCTGCTCCTCTCCTCCTTTCCTCGTTAATAGTATGCCTGAGGATATCAGACTAAGGCGGTTACGAAACGACTGCTGCACTACTGAGAGCAATACCATTGTGTCCATGTGAAAATTTTAGACAAGTATATGATTTGCACTGTAGCCCTCATTACATAAAATGAATAACCGACCCAAATATATACCAAACATGTCCAAATGAATCTTTATGGTAAACGTGATTTGAAATGCCATGAATGCTAACGTCTTCCTACTCTTCAAAACTACGCCACAAAGCTGGCAGTCTTCGTTGACGGAGTTATTCAATGCAGCTTGAGTCTACAAAAGGCGGATCCCTGCGGTATGTTGTAATTGTCCGCTATGACATTTAATTAAAATCCCGTAGGTGGCGTCGTGTACGTACCCAAGTTGGAAATGGTTTACGCATCAGTTACGGTGAAAAATAAAGCGGGCAAGTTGGGGTCACTCCACAGTGTGATTTGTAAAATTAACGGGACGTATGGAGAGAAGTACATCTCACACTACGTGAGCTTTGGATCTAACGGTGAGTGCCTTCCACTTCGCTAAGGTAATAGTTTAAAGTTCCTTTCTGAGCTCCTTTACAATTCGCGCTTTTTCTAATTTTTAGTTTACATAACCTAACTGGACGTTGTTCCATCTGCGAGAACCACCCAAAAACTGGCGACCTAAACCGAAAACACGTTCATTTTGGATTTTCGGATGTTTTCTTTTTAAATTTAACGTGGGTGGCGACTTAATAATCCACTCTGACTCCTCTGGCGGTTCGTACTTTGTTGAGAATACTCCGGAACTGCATAGAAAATGGCTGACGTTTGTCGGCATTCGAAACGAAAAATATGAAGATTATTGTTCAGGAATGCGCTCGAGTATAACTGCGGCATCTGTGCGCTTACGCGACTAAGACCTAGTAGTTAAGCGTAGTAGGCTCTGAAAAGCAGATGACACCTAGAACAAGAGACCTTGGCAATTCTATCAACTTGTTCCGAAAAAAACCAACGGTTAATTCGCAGTCCCCGATGTCAGAAAGTAACGGTTTTCAACATGGAAATAAAATAAAATTAAGGCGAGCGAGTAACCGAAATTACGTACGCATGGAATTTTGATTGAAAGGGCTCTTTACCCCCTTGGTACAAAATATCGTGACAATTCGACCAAGTTACTTCTCAAGAGCAACAACTCATTTGCAGTCCTCCGATGCCATAAAGAAACTGTTTTCAAAACTAAACTAAGATGTAATTACGGCAACGTATTGGTCGAAATTACTTAAACATGAATTTTTATGGAAAGAGCTCTTACAGAATCGACTTTACCTTCCCTCCCCAGTCTGTGTTCCGATGCAGGTCTAAGCTAAGTCAGCTAATATATGAGATTGGCCACATTTGGTGATTAGGTGACGCCATCGTCTACGCACGCTACAGCACAGCAAAACTCAACTTTTCTTATATCTGATAGCCTAGATGATGTGTGTACTTCCTTTGTTTTTCGGTGTCCCCGCAAAATCTGTTGCGAAAATTCCCACAGCAGTAATCAGAAGACGGGTGGCGAGCATACGTAGTGTTCGATAAATTCTCGTCGGGCCAGTACAATTATATGGGAACGAGTTAGAAGTAAAAGCACGTCAGTGACAAGACGAGTCGATCAACGTTCGCCTTAAAACACAGGCGGGGTGTTGAAATGTGGGAGAGGGGTTATAGCTGTCAGGGGTGGGGTGAAAGCGGAAGGGCGCGGGGAGAGTTGCAGCATTAGTCGACCTTCGACCACTGTAGGCGCGGAGGCTAAAGTGAATCTTCTGTACACACAAAATTGTTTTTCGCAACTTGGTGGCGACCGCCTCTGCCGTTGCTAACACGTGCTGGCCCAGTGGTTTCGGATAGCTCGATGTGATCTTATAGATCAAGAGTCTCTGTTGCAAAGAATATGAACACGCGATCACTGGGACAGTACGCGTACAGCACGCTTTCGCTCTCGCACAAGAGACCATCTTCAGGGACTGTGAGAATGCGGCGTTAAATGAGCATAGGGGGGATAGGAGTGCAGGAGGTGGTAATCGCAATAAGGCTGAGTCCACGCCGTCTCACGGCGGCGTGACTGCGTGCACCCACCGCCGGGAATCGGGTCTCGCCTCTTGGCCGCGGGAACGGAACGCATGGTGGCAGGGAGGGGATGTCAACGTGTCTGTTGATGGAGTTGGTGTCAAACAGACAGGGCCCCAGCAGTTATCACCCTGTCTTATTGCTGGCCCGCGCCATTATTCGCGTGCTCGCGAAGTTGAATTCGTGGCCCTCCTCCAGGCTGTAAAGAGTGACCTCTCCGGAACGCCCGTTTATGCAGCGTTATTCGTGAGCTAAGCCGTCGTCCGGTCTGTCCTGTGTAGTGACGAGGGCACTCGCGGAATGGGATCTGATAGACGACACACGATTGTTCTCCTGAGAGAGTCTTTATTGAACAAAGTCTCCCGGAATTACATCTTTTTTAACATTTGCACTTGAAGGAAGGATTTTTCACTGTAGCAAAACGTTTGTGGTCATGAGAAGTCTTAAAGTCTCGAAAATGTCGGCAAAGGCAGCGTTACATGTGGGAGCATAAATACTGTGATGTCAGTCGCTTTATCAACATTGATTTTGCGTTAATGTGAACCCGGTTAATTACCTACATTCTACTCCTTATCACAGAAGAACTACGAAAGTCCGTAAACTATCACAACTTAGCGCAAACCTCCAATGTCTTAGACTTTCATGTGTCTGTCAACAGAAATTTCAAAGAAAATCCGAATATGGAAGCCGACATTAAATGCCTCAATACTCATTTGGTTTTCAGAACAGCCCTACATTTAAAAATGTTTGTTTTTTCTGTAATAGTTGCATATAAGACCCTTTGGGCTTTGCGAATACGAACACAGCGCAGAAGGATGTTTTGGATTACACGTGCTCGTGACTATGTACAGTGAGTGACCTATCTCATGAAAGGTTGGCTGAAATTCGGAAATACGTTTTCGATTAGGAAGGATTACTTGGTCGCGGTTGTGATACTGATTATCTTGAGGCATACTCTTATAACATCTCGGACTCGGCAGGATGTCGGCTTTAAAATGCACTTCTTTTCAATCTCCTGTAGAAAGCGTGCTCGGTAAAAAATGACTACTTAATTAGCATGCGTTTTTCCCCATTGATTTTCGATGGTCTTGGAAATTTAAATATATTTTATAGAAACCACAAACAAAAATATGCTTTCTTTTAGTCAATCAATAGAGAAACACGTCTTCTTTATATTTTATACTTAAACGAGGAGTATAATTAGGTTTTAAGAAAATTTTCTAATTGCCGAATAATTTGGAGGCTGATCATTCATTGCATTAGCGCTTAGTGATTAGACTCTACAAGGTGCATGCGTTCCGCGTAAAGAAAATCATATATTTTTCTATGCCGATAAAGAGATATCATACAGAGTCCATAAAATTTTGCAATGGATGCGGAAAATGTTGTTCATTTCATGAGGAGCAGTGGTAAACGGCCAGGTACAATGCTATGTTAATTGACATTTTGCGGTCTTAAAAAGTCTCATAATTAGAAACTTTTTTAAAACCTAATTATACTCCTTCCTTAAGTATAAAATATAAAGAAGACGTGTTTCTCTATTGATTGACTAAAAGAAAGCATATTTTTGTTTGTGGTTTCTATAAAATATATTTAAATTTCCAAGACCATCGAAAATCAATGGGGAAAAACGCATGCTAATTAAGTAGTCATTTTTTTTACCGAGCACGCTTTCTACAGGAGATTGAAAAGAAGTGCATTTTAAAGCCGACATCCTGCCGAGTCCAAAATGTTATAAGAGTATGCCACGAGATAATCAGTATTACAACCGAGCCTAAGTAATCCTTCCTAATCGAAAACGCATTTCAGAATTTCAGCCAAAATTTCATGAGATAGGTCACGCACTGTCTTCGCATCTACTTTCTAGTTTAATGCGCCGAATAAATTCATAATCGAATAAATACTAAGGTTGCAGTGCTTTATGTGTGTGTCCCCGAAGCCGGCCTCCCTCGTCTCCGGTCTTCTTGACTCTGTCTTGACACCGGGCTCAGACGGGGAAGAAGGAGAGAGTGTAGGTAGATGCAGCCCAAGTCTACTGGCACTATAAACCCCCTGCGCAAGTCACCGTCCCTGCTCCCACCGCTGCTGCAGCTGTGGGGCACACGGTGGACATCATCGAAATCGATGGTCGAAATTTTGTGTCCCCGAAGCGGGTCACGCGATAAATGCGCTGGACCAACATCGGGGCTAGATCGTAGTCCGGCAGACATCATCGGGAATGCGCGTCCATAACAAATGCTAGCGTTGAGGGAGTGGCGGCACGCCCAGGCGCAAGCCCACGCCGCAGTAGTTGAGATCCGAGTTGTCAAACTCTTTTCTTGTTGTGTAAACTCCTGGTCAGGGCACGTTGTGGACCAGAGGTGTGGTGGTACGCCTAGGCGCGGGTTCCAACCACGTCAGTCACCTGTGCTCTCCCCTGCCTTCGGTCTTCTTCGCTCAGTCTTGACGCCGGGCCAAGGTAGGCGAGAAGGAGGGAGAAGAGAAGGAGGTTGATGTTGCGCAAGTCCACTACCGCCTTAAAATAAATTAAGTGCAGGTCATCGAGCATGCTCTGACACTACTGTGGAACACGCGATGGACATCGTCGGTCACGACGGTCGAACTGTCGTGTATGGAACCCTGCACCAAGTCCCACGGCGTCCACAATGATGACTACCCCCACCGCCAGTGACTGAACACATGATGAACCGCAAACGCCGATCAGCACCATCTCCATCATCCCTGCCACGACGACGACGACGACCCCTCCCACTCCCTTCATCGCTGAGAGCACTCCATACGGCTCATCGGCTACTACACTCACAACCATCGCCATCACCACCAGCAATGAAAACTCGATCCCGATCTGTCCTCAGTGTCACCACACATCCGTCTTACGCGCAGCCCGATCGATCACTCGCGAATCCATAGCTCTGTGGCCGGTGCACCAGTGTCAAGGGCTCTGAAATGCACTCGCTGCATGGGCCTATTCAATCACATGCGTATCCACTGCAGCAGAATTCACCGCAACATCGACGCGTCAAACACACCTTGTATTCGCGAAAACCATTCCATCCCCGGTCCTACCAACTCCCCATTCACTAGCGCGGCCACCACTGCCAGCACCACCGTAACCGACTCCGTAGTCACCACAGTGCCACTGCACATACACTTTGCGCATCCGCCTGATCGGTCATTTGTGAATCTAGTGATCAAAGACTAGCAAATCAGTGTCTGGGACAACAACAACACACATCCTTCTTCAGCGCCACAACTGTCCTCATTGCCCTCGCATATTCAGACATCGTATAGGCATACTCCGACACATGCGCCTCTATGAAAACCGAAGACAAATCAGCGCAGACTAAATCCAAACGGTTTACTTCCTTTGTGTGAAATCCTGGTGTGTCGTTGGAGGGGAGGGGGAAAGAGGGAGATCGGAATAGATTTTATTTCGAAATTATTATTCCGAAATTTTTAGCAGAAAACGTTTTCCATGCATCGTGACCAGAATAAAAATTAACAGATCACGCGAGAGTCAATGCATTT